ATGCCACTGCATAATCTGTGTACCATGCAGCTCTTCACAGCTGGAACACCTTACACCGCTGCAGCAGCTCCCTGGCACAGTGTTCTTGCGTCAGAGTCTCCACTTCTGCTCCAGAGACTGGCATAAAGTCTGTATTCAACTGCCTCACTCCCTGAGAAACCTCAGGGAATCAGCCACATCACACCATGCTTTCTGCTGCCTCTTCCCTCCTTCACAGCTGCTTACCTGGGGAGGGGTGGGGAGGGCACACACCGTAATTGTACAGGCAGACTCAGTATCTCAGTTACTCCTCACGCTTCCAGTCCTGTGCAGTGTTTCTCTTCCTCTGTTTCCATTAAGTGAGTAGCTCCTAGAACTAGTTGGTTCCCCATTACAACCAGTACACTTGTTTTCAAACATGGAAACGAACAAAGCACTCAATTTAAACTTGCTAAATTTATCAGAAAGTTTCCCTCAAAGAGTTTTTAACCAATGTTCCCTGCAATGAACAGTACAGAGTAAAAAATTTAACTTGCAGAATGAGATCAGTTTCACCCAAGATTATATCAGTACCATTTTCAGACTGTCCTTCCCCAATGAACACACACACACACACACCCCCCACCTTCACTTTCATAACCAGGAGCACTATTTGCCTTTTAGTTTCAACAAATCCCTTTCATGTCTTGCTAAATGCTTAGCATGCCTTTGATGCCCTGAGGACTTTGTGCGTCTAGAATATGTTGTCTGACAAGCAGCTGTGGACAAGAAATGCATTTTAGAAGGAGCTTCCAGTAACCACTGAATGAATTAAGAATAGAAGGCCATTGTAAATAGATTATAACTAATTGCTCCATTCAACAAAATAACATATTCCATGGTTTCAGCTTCAAAGCCCTTGCATTCGCCAAGATTCAGAACACATTCAAAGAGAACCTGAGTCCCTTTGGTCAGCTACAGAGATGTAAGCAAAGGCATGCTAAATGAAAAGAAAAAACTCAGAAGACTTTCCAAGAGTTATTTTTTATTTTCATGTCTCCTTTTTTGACATAATTTTCTGAGGATGAAAGCATCTAATTTTTTCCATCTGAAATAGACTTACTATATAAGTAGAAATGAGTAACTTTGATAACTACAAATATATTACTGCTTTTGAATAAAACACTGTTTGAAGTTTCAGTTTTCAGTTGGGTTTTTTCCCCCCATGACAAACAATAGGTTACATTGCAAATACAGAAAAGTTTGAAATGTTACAAATTCTCATACAATTGACAAGACACTTTTATTCAGATGACACATGAGAATGTCACTGCATTCAAGCCTTCAAAAAAAGGAAGATTGGCAACTATTTTTTAAAAAAATTTCTAATTTCTGTTTTATGTAGAAAAAAGGATCTGTTTGCTTTCTAGTCAACCAGCATCTCAGTCTTTCAGAAAGCTCTCTTAGATCCACAATTTCAAAGTCAAGTTAGAAGAACAGAGACTCCAAATGAATGTATTTTCACAGAAAATTCCTAGACAAAGCAGGGCACCTACTAAAACTAGCTGGCTGCAATTAAGTATTTCTCATGTGAGAGATTATAGGAGCTTTTGAGAGTTCTGGGTTCAGATTTTACTTGCAAAATTGACTCAAAAAGAGTGTCACCACTTATGATTAATTTATATCAAATAGCTCAAGTGGGATTGAAAAGTCTAAAGAAGATTTGAAACATTTTCTTTCCAAACAAGAAAATGTAAATTTAAATACCGGTACATGTTTTCTCACTGTTTTTGACATACCTCAGATTACACAAGATATCATTCATCAGGTACCAAACAAAGTGAAAATTACACCAAAATAATGTCATATATTTTAAGATATGAGAAAGTACTCTGCGCTGTAGGTTTGGATATGTGGGAAATTGATGAAACAGTTCAATACTGAAAGATAAACGATTTGGTGAACACGCGCACCTTTAATTAAATGAAAATTGATTACAGAAACTTCATGCTGAGAAGACAGCATAGGACTCAAAGGAGAGGCTGAGCTTCTGGCTGTCAAATCCCATAAGGCCAGAGGCAGGTGAACCACCTGCCATGCCCTCGCCTTCAGCCACCAGACACTGTGTGCAACCGACAGCGGTACTGCCGTAGGTTCACATCCAC